CGGGCAGGCCGCGGGCGCAGGGGCGCGCTGGGATGTGCTCTTGCCCAGCCCCAGCAGAGCCCTGCAGCCTGCCCCGCGGAAAGCGCAACTGCTGGCAAAATCAGCAGCGGATTATGGGTGATAAACGCATAATGGCCTTGATAATCCCCCCGATTTTCAGCTCCCCTTCGGTGGAGGCAGGCCTGTTGGCAAAAGGGACGGGATGGCGTTCGGGGAGCGACTCCCCCCGCCGGCCTGCGGGGAACAGATTTAGGGGAGAAGCTGTTAGAGGACCCTTTGCTTTGCCTAACGGGGGGAGACTGCGGCGGAGGATGCCCGAGGGGGGCCTGGCTGGGAGAGGGGTGACTGCGGGGGGCGGAACGCTCCCTGAGGTTAATTCCAGCAAGCCAGGGTTAAATCACAGGGCTGGAGATTTTTGAAGGTGGGGGTGGATGCGAGGAGGAGCGCTTTTGAAGGGAGGAGTAGGGATGCGTAGTAGTTTTGGGGCTGTGAAGAAGGAATCGACTACAGAGGGGGAGATGCTGAGGAGGCCTGGGGAAAAGTGAAGTGGGTACTTAGTAAAGAACTTAGCTAAGATCTACTTTAGGTAGTTTCTGTCGTTAACAGCGGTCGGAGCAAACAGCCGTGTGTTAAGGTTTCCCTAAACCGAATATTTGGAATAGTCCTCAAATTGCTGGTTATGTTCCCCTCGCCATTGTAGATAACGATCAGTGCAACTTCAACCCGAGTGTGCCAGCGGCTGAGGACAGCTAATTGAGGGCTCTTCCGCTGGTAAGACCTACAAAACCAGCAAAGCCCTACCTGGAGATAGCTTAAAAAGCTCTAACAAAACAACAAAACCTTATCGTTGTAGGGCTTTCCTGTAACAGATAAGCTGACTGTTTCGGTGCGATCACAAAATCTCCAGTTCCCGCTGCTGACTGTGATGGAATGGTATGTTTGGAGCCGATCTCACTGTATTCGTCCTAATCGTTATTTGTTAGCATGATACTGAACTCCACTCAACAGTGCTCGATGTGGTGTTAACTGTTTGAATTGTACTTAAATGCAGGAAAATTTGTTAGTGGAAGCAAACCTTCAGGGAGATTTAAATGCAAAATATTCTGAAAACGTGTTGGGGGGGAGCAGAATATACACAGCGTGTTCCATAGCAGCATGTTCCATAACGAAAGGGAGATTTTGGAAGGTCATGGAGTAATTCCCGTAATCTTTGTCAATGCAATTTTGAATTTCCTCTTGGTATCCAAAGACAATTGGTTCCAATTTTGATGCAGTTCAGATTTTAAAAACTGCGTTTCTTTCCCCCCCAAAAAACCTTCTGCGATATACAGACAAGGTAGAGATTATGCAGAATTGTTCCTGCAGGATTGTGCCATGCTTCTTTAACCTCTACGTTTAAACATAAATTTAATTTTTCATCCTCCTTTTCCACTTTAATAAATGTCTCCTAACACTTTGAATTATATATAGTCGTGGATTTCTTTTAGATTCTATGTTACCTACAGCTGGGGTTTTGTGTTTGTTTGTTTTTTTTAATAAATGTGAATGAAAACGTGGCCCAGCTTTTTTTTTTTGTGATGCCCTCATTTTAAGCTGCAGGAATGTAATGACAGGAGAGAGTTTGCTGCTGTCATTTTCTATTTATATGTTTTTCTTGGGAAATTGGATGGAGTCAAATTACCACAGTATTTTCTTAAAGTGTAACTTTTATTTAGTTTGCTGGTTTTGCCTGGCCTGTTGTACTGACAACGGTGATAAATATTTACAAGAAATTCAAGCATCAGATTTAATTAGGATAAAACAGCTGTGTGTAACATGTGCCTGAACTGTGCATATTTGTAGCTGATGAGACTACATCTCCCAGCATACAACTCTATTTTCCCCTTAGCTGTAGCTCAGGATGGGATACAGCTGACTGGGACCTGTAGTCGCTGGAGTCATTAGCACCACAGTCAAGGACGCGCTAACAAGAACCACTGCAAAACTCTTTCATCGCTGCATTGTAAACCGTGACCGAATTATTGAGAAGAATCGTATTCCACTGTTTGCAACAAGAAATTTCTACTGGCATGATGAAGCATATTTAAAATGATGTGCTGTTCCACAGGACGTTTTTAGAGTATTATTTTTAGAGGATTTTTTTTCTGCTTCCTGTTACAGCTTTTAAGAAGTCTTTAGATGGGTGGTATTTGCCAAGAGTATTTCTAAAAAGATTACATATCTAAATAAGTAGATATTTACCACCTATGCACACTTGGTTATTGCAGGCAGGAGAATGATTTTGTCCAATGTATTCATTGAAAGTGTCAATTTAGAAAATTCCACACTTTGTCCAATGGAGCTGTTCCCAATGACATCATTCCCCATAAAAAGAGAATATGGGACTGCAGTTGCTACTGGGATCACATGGCATTTCAACTGAGTTTTGGAATCAGTTTCCATCATAATGGCCATATTCTGCATGAGTCTGCTGTAATCTCTGTGTGTTGGTATTGCCCAATTCTCCTTTTAACTCTTTCAGTTTTAATACCAGTTGGTTAAACTTCTTTTATTATAAGGTATAGCATGAAGTATTGGAATTTTGTCTGTATATTCTTTAAAGAGAGGACAAGTATTAACTGTTGTGTCGCATGGTTTAGGTTTCTTGATGCCTAAGTGAAAAAGATGTACTTCTTTCAGTGTCTCACATGCAGTTTATTCAAAAGGTGAGGAAAAGCAGAGCCTTTTGGTTTCAGCTTCCCTTACTTATCATCCCCATTTATCTTCTTGTCTTACCACAAATATTTGACGTAGATGGGAAATAATGTATCTGAAGTTACTCTGCAGCCAAAAAGGCTGGTAGACCATGGGGTTTTGTTTTGTTTGGACTAGGATTTATATCACCTAATAACACTCATCTAAATATTAGACGTATAATCAAGCTGTTGTCCAGGCTGTCTTGATACAGCGGAGAGAGGCAGGCACCTTTAGATGATCATTACTCCCATGCTTACTCGGGTGGCTAAAGCAGGTTGGGTGAGTTGCCTTCTGAGGGTGACTTTTTCTCTCCTGTAGTTTCTGCAAGTACAGAAGAAGCCGAGATGACCACCCTTAATTTTTAGATGGCTAAAATTAATTAATTACCTGTGGTGCTTAGAGGTTATCTAATAGAAATCTTCATATTAATGATACCTGTGGCCTGTAATAGTGTGATCTTGAGCTTACCAGAACTTTATATGTGGCTTTGTGAAGTACTGATGCCCTGCCCCATCTCCTCCAGTGGGCCCTACCTATTTTTGGAATCTAAAAGCCAGCTGGATGACTATGCTGCTGGCTTTACGTCTTCTTGGTGCTATTCCTGCAACACCCTGGTGTGATGACATCTGTAGGTATCTGCTCGGGCAGCTGTGCCATTGGGAACTCCATAAAATGCCAGTAGCTATGATTAATAACCACATGATGTTTAAATCATCAAAAGTGCACACCTAGGGTGTATCCTGTATCCAAACTGAATTTATCTGAAAGATGTCACAGAGACTTTGGACTGTTGAAGAACGTGGTGTGCCAAGGTCCCACATTCCTGAAATGCAGCAGTTCTGATAATATTTGCTTTCTGCTAGAGTCCTGAAACTGCTGTGCAAACTGCCACACTTTGGTCCCTCTAAGACGAGATTTATGCTCTCCTGATAGCTTTTTATAACAACATCCAGACAGCTAGGACATTTCTTAAAAACAAATACTAGTCATTTTCAATCTACAAAATTAGGTGCGAAATCATTAGGGCAACACAATGTGGGTTTCTTACTCTAGCTGTAAGAGACAGAAAGCAATGCTCAGTCAGGAGTTTTATTTTTCCAGTGAGAATTTGCTGATGAAAGTAACCTGCAATTCAGGAAAATCAGCAAAAGCAAAATACAGTAAAGACCTAAATATCAATAGAGGGAAGATCCTTTTATGCTGAAAATTAATATAAAAATTTATTCTAGAATATTGTTATTATTTTTGTCCTGCCATTTTTCTCCTACCTTTTACGTATGTGACATATGGGAAAAGCATGGCACCTCCCAATTTCTACAAAAGTCCAAAACTTACATGAAAGAAGACAAAAATTCAGGCAGCTCAGGAAGTTAAATGCAGTTTGTCAAGGTTTTCATCTGCAAATCACCTGCATTTCATACGGGTCCTTCTATCTGTAGCAAAATTTCACTGAAGACCTGGTGGCCAGGAAAAATTGCTTTTCATGTTAAATGGGGGAATCAAAAAAGAATGTCAATATAGTCTACAAGCATTTTAAAGAAAATGAAAAATGAGGGAAAGAAGAGAAATGTTTAAATATTTTTTTTCTGCTCTCTTTAGAATCTCAGCTGGCTCAGCAGTTGAAATGGAAAATTCTTGCTAGAAAGCCGATGTGTCCTGAACCTGCTATATAAAAAGGGACAAAACAGACGTGCTTGATGCCTGAAGAAGCGCTGGCGTGGCATTCCAGGGTATGCTAATTCATTTTGTCCCCTGTGCTGTCTACCAGATTCATGACGGTACGATGTGAAAGGTCTCATTGGGACCATCTGCATTGCTCTTCAACACAGAATCCATGAATCAGCTTAAAGCAGCGTTAGTAGAAAAGGTAAGTTGATTTGAAGTGCTCCAAAGACTGGGTTGAATTCACATGTGACGGGACTCCAGCACAGATACCTTTCTATGGTTCTTTCCAACCCGAAGGGGATACACTTTATTGAACCTCCCTCTGTCAGTGGTGAGTGCTTACAAAGTCTTTGTGTTCAAAATTGCTGAAACTTTAATTTTCTTGACGAGATCTTCTTTTACTATTAGACAAGCTGTAAAGTAAAGAACAACCAGAATATTTAGATATCAGCTAGGTTTTAGCCTATTCCGTTCATTAGATGGTTCTTCTGTTTTCAAAATGTGAGGGTATATGTAAGTTGCTGTTTTCATTTGCTATTAGTAGTCCGTGCATGAAGGCCTGTATCCTCACTGAAGTCAATGACAAAGCTTCCATTGACCTCAGCGTTGCAGGATCAAACCCTTAGTCATTAGCATGTTGTAAAAACGGCTGTTATCCCAGCCAATTTTAATGGGCCTGCCTACAACTGGCAGTTGTTTAACCTAAAAATTAGCTTAGCAATCACAGCTAAAATTACATGTCAGACTGTTAGTGCGTAAGAATACTTCATAGTGAGTCATCAAGAGTCTTACGATGCACTTAGAGTTCTATAATTATTAACATTCAAGCAAGAGATCCTGAAATTTGATAAAGACTGGAATTTCCAGATGCGAAGGAGATTAGTTCAGATGAGAGGATAAGATTTACATTCTGTAAACTCAATTTTTTGTGTTACTAGTCCTTTTCTTCTTTAAATAGTCAGATCTAGGTACAATCAAAACACAACTTACTTTTTGCTGCATTTATTCATATAAACCTGTTCAATCAGCTGTCTCTCTTAACAACCTCATTAGCTGGGACACAGCTGAGGAGATAATTTTTTGTGTGTCAATTAAACAGTTAAATTAAACTAAAAGCAACATGTCAGAATCAAATAGCCAAGGTGTGGAGATATTTGAAATCTGAACCTTGCTTAGTATATTGCAAAATAGGTTTTACACAGTACCAAGTATTCTGGAGAGACCAGGATTTAAAGGATAATCCTGTTCTGGAGCTGGATTTTGCCACTTTGCCTGTTTTAGTTGACAACATAAATGAAATTTAAATTTAGTTTCGTTACGTAGGTGCTGATGTGGTATGACTGTAAGAAGTAAAGCCATTGCTTCATGTTGGCTGGCAAAAATGGATATGAGATCACAAGCTATATATGATGGTTTTCTTAGGAAAGCAAAATAAGTAGTAATTTGGATTTTTCGCATTACTTTGGAGATGGTGCAGAACAAAATATCAGCAAAGCAATAAGGGCCATTATGAAAAGAAACTGTTTGTTGTGCAGTTCAAGCTCAGAGTTTCAGGAGGAGGAACCTATCAGGGAAGGAAAATCTCACACTCCAGGTCACGTTAGATCTTTTGTAGAATGTTTAAGTGCAAGTAACGTGATGCCACTTCACATCAGAGTATTACTCAAAACAGGGATGATACTTGGACATAATCTGCATCTCCGCCCTAAACCAGAAAGATATCCTTCCTTCTCAAGAAATTTCAGTTAATCCAGTGGATTAGGAGTTCAACTACTTCTTGAGAGATTTGGGAATATGATTTCTTTTAAGGATTTGAAATATGTTTGTTTTCTTGCTTGTTTTCATTCATTGTACTATATCACTCATGTATTTATTAGGATAAATCTCTGTTTCCATTATATTTGTGTGTGTAAAGGCATATGTTATGTTTTTACAAACACTTTTTTTTTTTTCATTTTTTAACCTCTATAGGAATAATCAGAATAATTGGCTAGTACTTGACATTTATCATGTTGTACTCTAATTACTCCCTTGTGGTGCTTTACTCTGTTTTATGTTCAAAATAAATAATATAATCCCTTATAAGAGAAAAGATAAGGAAGAGGTAAAAATCTTGTCTTTACAAAGATGAGCAAAAGGATGAGGTGAAAAAGGGAAAGCACTGGTGGTGTTAATTCACAGCAGCCTGCGGAAAATGGGATCGGAGTCATTAGCTCATTCTACAGAGGTCACAAGATTGCCATTCTATGACATAAATTTCAATTAATATAGACAGTGTCTCAACATGAAAGTAGCAGTTGACCTGAGCTGAACCCAAGTTAGATGAGAGGCTCATTACCAATAACAGTTAGCAAACAGGAATTTTCCTGCAAGTGCAAACTGAAAAGCAGAGTTACCTACCTGCAGTGCACTGAGCAAACGCTTCATTCTGCTGCTAACTCTCTAGGTGGAATTTGTGAATACTCAAGAGAGAGCGGTTGTGGCATGCTTCGTTCTCACCTCTCTGCGAAAGCAATCTACTGAGAAACCCATAGTAAAAAACACCACCCTGATGCAATTTCTAATGCTGTCTACAAAAATGAAATTCAGGATCTTTTCTGAACACGAGTCCTAAAAGCGTTGATTTAATGCCTTTCAAGTTAAACTCAAGATTTCCACTGACCTCAGCGAGTCTGGACTAGGTTTAAATTTCTTATTTGCTTCAGGAAAGCATTAGTTCTGTCAAAATCACTTTCATCAGTTTAAGCTGGATTAGTGATACAGTAGTCATTTATCATAAAATCATGGAATAATTTTGGTTTGAAGGGACTTCTGAAGGTCGTTGAGTTCAACCCCTGGCTCAAAGCAGGTACAATGAGATGGGATTGCTCAGGTCTTTGTCCAGCTGCATTTTGAATATCTTTGAGGATGGAAATTCCACCTCTCTGGGCACCTGTTCCTGTGTTTCCAACCAGAATTTCCTGTGTTGTGATTTGTGTCCGTTGTCTCTTGTCTTTTCATTCTGTACCTCTGAAAAGAGTCTGTAGTTGAAGACAGCAATAAAATCTTCCCCTATCCTTCTCTTCTTACAGCTGAACAAAGACGGTTCTTCAAGTCTCTCTTCACCTTGGTGGCCCTCTACTGCACTTTCTCCAGTATCTTGAAGAACATAGTTACCCAGGAAGGGTGGTAACAGGAGGCTGCTTACATAGCTTTGATTTAAATACTTGTGGCTAGTATCTTGCCTGTTGCTGTGTCATATAAAAAACATCATTAAAAAACTCGGCTGTGCAAAATGAAATGTTACTAGCTTTTGCAACTCTCCTGAACCTCTCTGGGTTGACTCCTGTGCTACCATACACAGAAAGCTGATGGATCCTCAACAAAGTACCCGTTTGCTTGCACTGAGGTTTAATGTCAAGTAAAAAATTACTTCAGAAAGTGCAATATGTGCAATGCTTATCAAATCACATACACATCCTGGATTTGTGTTCCTGCAGATCTTAAAAATTCTTGCAACGTACCATCCTAGGCACTTCAAAAGAGGAACAGGGCAACCTTCCTGACAGACCCACATCTGCCTGGTCCTGGGCAGCACAGGAAACTTTTTTTAGATGTTGGTGGCAGAGCAGTCTTAGAGCTACTTTTTCTTGGTTTTGGTTACCAGAAAGGGATTGTTGGAGCACCAGGCGCAACAAATTTACCCTCTCCCAGCACCAACATGTCTTATCCGTCAGCTGATTAAGAAAGTACTATGTGCTAATTTACTTCTATGACACCCAGGGGTTTTCCCAGACGAATAATTAGATCAGCTCTCTGGTTTATTGTGTTGCTAGAATGGAAGATAATATTTAGCCACTGTATCTCCTTACCTCTTTTCCTCCTTAAAATATGAACTGACTAAGCAGGACTACTGCCTATGACTTTGGTCAAGTGAGACATGCCGAAAAAAAGTCCCCAGTAGCGTATGCTTCTAGAGCTCCTTGCATAATATCTTCATTAAAATGCCAATCACAGGGTTCTGCTGAGAGCCAGGTCAGACTATGATCAGCTTTTTAGGCCATGTTCACTTTTGGACTTTTTGCCTGAGAAATTCCACAGGTTCACATGCTTGATTATGCAATTATTTTCTTGATTTCATTAAAAACCTCCGCCCATGCTCAGTTTACAGCCCCAAAGCTGATCTTCCTCATAACTTATATTCTGATAATAAAAGGTTTAGAAACAGAAATCTGTTTTTTTCTCTTAAAAAATGTTGGTTGTTAATGAAAATTCTCTGGTATTTTGCGTTTTGCTTTGGGAAGACCAGCAGAGGGTGCCTGAGAGAGAGAGAGCAAACCCTGTCCCAGATTTGTGCTGCAATTGTTAACAAATGAGCATAAAAAAAAAAGTAAACTTTAATTTAGTTCTCTTATTAAAACCAAAGAAGAATACATTAATGAAAATGAAGGGAAACTAACTGGCTTAGGAAACCTGTGCTATTAAGAGGCTGTCAAAAAAGTAGTACTAATAATTAAAGAAAAAAATTAATTTGCCGATTAGGAAAGGAATTTTAGTTATCTGAGTCTGTCATTGGCTAACAGCTACTAAAGGACTGGTTCCCTCAAGTATCTTTTCATGGGGTTTGGGAGACGTTCCGTCTGTAAGCTACTTCTGTGTAAGGAGATGGAGGAAGAGAAATTCTTTCAGTGGAAGATTCAGAGCAGGTTGAGAGGAAGCTCTGCAGAATCAGCCTTTTGGACACCACCTTCTTTTCCTCCTCCTGTCTCTCACTTGATGTTAAATGATGCAGGAGAGAAAGTTTTCACGAGTTCCCTGTACAAGTGGTCTTTGCAGTACTAGGGCAACGAGTGAGCCCACACAGAAAGAAACTTTTCTAGATTCATTACAACAGATTTAAATTGAATAAATATTGTTTTACGTATCTACGTATGTATTTGGAAAATTTCAAATGTGGAAAAGGGGACACAAATCTTTCCGTTGACTTTGGTGACCTTGTAACCCAGCCCAGGAAGATAGATGCAGAACAGGGATCTAAGAATCAGAATGTAAATATCAGTGATAACATCTTCCTCTTCTTCACCATCATGAGAGGTTCATTCCATATTAAGAAAGTGAAGAACATGAAATACTTGCTTTGCCTCACTTATCCAGGTATGATGCATTCGTATGACACGGTATGTTCAGGTATGTTCTAGCCTTTACCTATAGCTATTCCTCTGAGGAAAAGTCCTTCATATATTTGTATCTTGACTTCTTCTAATATTTCGTTTGAATAATCACAAAGAATTACATAGTAGTAATGTCACTCAAACAAAATGGCATTATCATCAAATGGAGTTTTGTTCAATTCACCCAAACATGTTCTGTATTTCTGTTATTTATATAAACATGGGTGACTTAGCCATACCCCTTAATGTAAACTAAGGAAGGTATGTTATGAAAAGGAAATGGGTAATATGGCTTAAGGACTCTGGGTTCCATCACTGTCCCATCATACTAAACAAATCTTACCTTCATATAAATGGCCCATCCCCTTCAGAAAAGGTTGGAGTTTTTCTAGAGTCCTCTTTTTATTATTTCTGAGTAAAAGTGCTTCTAATGTCAATAAACAGGAAGAGAAGTCAAAGTAGTGTGGTCTAGGGGAATGAGCAGAGCTCAGGCAGTCCTGAATAAAAATCACCCTTATGCAAAGGACACGCCTGGAACGCTTGAGTCACATTCAAATACCCAATTAGGTCAGTGAGGGAGACTTGATGCACAGGAGCTCTTTGTCTGGAGGCAGACGTTGTCCTTTAAAAAGTATTATGCGCCTTTAAACAGATACAGTTAATGCAGGTGTCAGTAAAAGCTCGACAATCACTTTGCAAACAAAAAGCAAAGCCAAGCAGTTTATAATCTTACTGAAAAGTCATGGATGTGAAATTTGGAAGAAGGGCAGGGCGCAGCCTAGCTGCAGGTGGCTGGGATCACTGCAGAATTTTGTAGCTTCAAACACAAGTGTGACACTGGATAGGGTATAGAAAACAACTCCCGCTTCTTATATTGAGGAAATCCTTCCCAGGGCATGCCACAAAAAGTCTCTGACCGACAACCAGGAGTCACCTACTTCTGTGTCTGAAGATGCTTCCCATATTTGCCCTGGCTGGCTGAATAAGAATAGCCTTGCCACTGTGCCTTTCTATATCACCATTTTGTATTTTTCTGTGACGCTCTGTTGTTGTCAGGTGTTTTTCTATATATTTCTTTTTCTGAGGAAGGAAACAGTGAGCTGTAGGGAGGAGAGAGGAGGAAAGAATGATTTACTAACTGTTACACCACTTTAACTTAGAGTTTGCTTAACTAAACAGTTGCAAAGACTGGTGTGACTGTCTTTGCTACGTCTTTGCTAGTAAGGAAAACAATCTGTGGACTTTCTAGTCCTGAGACCAACTGGCCTGACCGGGCTTGTGTCCGTAGCTGATGCCCCTCAGACATACCCCACATTCCTTCGGAGAGTATGCGTGGGCAAAGCCACACCATGAACCACGATCGCTGTTTGGAAGTATGGACGATCACCTGCCAGCATATGACTCCGCGCCTTGGCCCTGTCTGGCTTACTGGTACAGATGTAGCTTAGTCTGGCAAAACTGCGACTTCTCTGGTTTACCTTCTATTGCTTGGGAACGGGCTGTACTAAACAGTAATGCAGTGGCCAGGAAGGCAGCATCAACAGTTTTATTTACTGTTTTAAAAATGGATGGAAGACATAGTACTTCAACTTGCCCTAATTAGAACTAGACTACCAAGTTTTAAACTGATGGGAGCTCACACACAAAACCTGAGCTAAACAGACTGAAATGAAATGGATGCAAGGAGTAAGTAAAATTGAGAGGTTTGAAGGAAGAAAAGATGGAAGTTGTTT